ATGCCGAGGCGTTGTTGTATAAAAACCCCACATTTGATTTCCAAGACTCTTTTTGGAATACCTCAAGATGAAGTGAAAAAGAAAATATGGGAAAATTCTTTAGGGATATTGCTAAAAAAAAATAATCACATTTGCGCAAATCATTTTAAAATGTGTGATGTTAAAAGCACTTGGGAATCTGGTGAAGGGTCAAACAAGTACACTGTAAGTACTACACTTAATTATATAAATATATAAGTTGATTTCAATTTCCAGACATATTAAAATGTATTAATTTACATTATCTTAATAATTAACAAACTTTAAAATTATATTATTAACTATTAGGTATGTTTGAAAAGATTACAACTTAAAAAAGATGCTATACCAATACCCTGTATTAATGAAAATGAAGAATCTACAGACACAGAGGTTTGTTTTAATCTATTTGTTAGTATTACATTAAAAATATATGCATAAAAAAAATTTAAAAAAAAATTAATTATACTTTATAGTCTCATGCATATAACAATACGGTCGATACATCAACATCAACTTCTTTTGAATTATCTGATTTAACAATGGGTAAATCTACCATTTCTAAAACCTCAAATTCACTTTCATTAAACGATACATCTAGTTCATGTTCTTCAGGCACTTCAGAAAATCAAAATAAACAGCATACAATTTCTTTCATAGAACAGTCTTCTGCTCCTAAAAAAAGAAAGGTTAGTTCTATTTTACATTACAACAGTAAAATGTTTCAAACATTAATTTCTTAGTATAATATTACTATTTTTTTTTTAGATTGATTTAGTAAATCAACCGGGCTCATTGGAATTTTATCAGTTGGTACTTCAAAATATTAAAAAACTTACTATTCCAATTAATTGGTTTGTAAATATTGAAAATGATAAAAACAATAATTCTGTTATCAGTTTTCATAAACTAGGCCCGCTTGTACTTAATAGAATGAGATACGTTGAAAAACAGCTAGTAATTACAAAAGGTAGGTGCTAGTAATTTAAAAAGGTACCTGCTTATATTTATTTACATGTACAAATAATATTTTTTTCATTAAAAAATTTGGATCAATTGGAATTTTTTCCTTAGACTCTACAACAATTCATATTAATGGTAAGGTTCTCAAGTCGGAAGTCTATATTCAAAACATTAAGCATTTAGAAACAGAATTAAATTTATGTGATAAAATTAAATGTTGCCATGGTGCAGTTTCTAGCTACGATTTACCTGATGTTAGACAGTCGTTTGGAACTCAATACGTTGAGTACAATGGACAATGGAGACATTCAAAATGTCTAATAGTTCTACAAGACGATGACAGGTTAAACATAAAATGATTATTGCTAATCACTCGTCAGTTTTTAATTTTTAATTTTTCACATTTTATATTTTTATTATAGTGACTGTAATTTATGCATATGGTGTAAAAGATTATTATTTTCAATTCGTAAAAAAATGGCAAAATTAAATAAAAATAAACAAATTAGGACATATTATTCACCAAATAAAAAAAGAGCCCACCAAAAGATATTAAAAACTGCAAATATTATTAGGAAAAAACATAGTTGTGCAATCAAATTAATTGATCGGTTACAAAATCGTTTAAATCGGATTCAAAATGAACTTAAAAATATAGAGACAAAACAACTTGAACAATTATTGGAAAATTCAAGCATTTCTCACGGTCAATATCAATTGATAACTGAAATAATTTCAGCTGCTAAGGTTAAAAATCCGAGAAATCGAAAATATAATGAGAATTGGATGCTTTTATGCTTGTTGTTTCAGATAAGGTAAAATATATTATCGGTGGTACTTATGTATTTTTTTTTTATTTTAAAGTATTTTATTACTAAATTACTGAAATATTTAAGTTTTGTTTTCTTAATTCTTACTATTTAGATCTCCTAGTGGCTATAAATTTCTACGAGAGCAAAATCTTTTACCACTTCCTTGTGTAGATACCCTGAGAAGACACTTAATGGCCGTTAAGATTGGATGTGGCTTTGATGAAAAGTTTTTCAAAATACTGAAAAAAAAGTTTATGAACAAAACATCACATGAAAAAAAAGTGACCTTAGTATTTGATGAAATTTTTCTTAGGGAAAGTTTAGGTGTTAATACAAAAAATTTGACATACTTGGGATTAGAAGACTTGGGGGACGATTTTGATAATAAGGTTGAATTGGCAAATCATGCTTTGGTGCTGATGATACAAAGCTTAGCTGAAAGTTTACACCAGCCCATTGCAGTATTTGCATCTAAAGGGCCTATAAAAGGTAAAGATTAACAATATTGTAAGTATGTATTGATAATGAATATATTAAAATTTATTATTTTATAATAATATTGATTACTTTAATCACATAAATTTGATGCACCTGGTTATAAAAATTAAAAATATTATTTTAATTTTAAAAAGGAATCGATTTGGCAAAAATTGTTGTGAAAGCAATACTATTATTAGAAAATGCAGGAGTTGAAGTGGTTGGATTAACAAGTGATGGTGCATCGACAAATCGAACAATGTGGACTAGTTTGGGTATTAGTGGAAAAGTGGACAACCTAAAAAATTCTTTTCAAAATCCAGCTGACAGTAGTAGAAGAGTATATGTGTTCTCCGATGCACCACATTTACTCAAAACCATAAGAAATCGGTTATTCACAAAAAAAGAACTTAAAGTATGTTAAACACTAAAAATATTTAAATTAAGAAAAAATATTGATTTAAACAAAAATTATAATTTTTAGATTCATCCTAAAAAAGCTTCAATTTAGTGGAAAATATATGAAACTGTTTTTGAACACGATTCTAAATCATATTTAAAAGTATGTCCAAAACTAACCAAAAGTCATTTTCAACTGAATAATTTTTCCAAAATGAAGGTTAAATTTGCTTCACAAGTAAGTTTTTACAATATCACTATTTGGTATTATTTCTAACTTTTATTTATTTTATAGATCTTCAGTAAGTCTATGGCTGATGGGATTGTATTTTTTAAGAGCAAGAATTATTCAGGGTTTGATGAAAGTGAAGAAACTGTAGAATTTACACTATTATTAAATAATATATTCGATGCTCTTAATCGAAAATTTAGTGCAGAAGGAATTAAAAAGAATAGTCAGGATATCAAGGTTTATTAATATATATGTGTCCTATGTGTTGCACGTTTTATGTTTTGTTCATCACTATTACCAGGGAAGTATTTAGATATTAATTATTCTATAATATTGTAGGTATTTAATTCCAGTTATATAAATGCTTCTATTAATTTTATATTTAAATACTAACATAATTTTCTAAATTATTAAACAAAATAAATAAT